CTTCATTAAGTTCCACTTTCACGCGACGTTCAATGACAGGGTCCTATCCAGGATTACATCTGAAAAATCCAAATCTGGCCAACGCCCACCTAAACCTGTTCTAATCCACCTGAAATGACTAACGAATGGAAGACTTTGACTACCCAGCCATGCAATAGTCTCATTCCGTGCCATATGGCAACTTGATGATTCTATTACGCTCATCTTTTGGCACCACCCAGGGGAGACTTGGTCCTGTATCCAATGCTTAACTTATCTCCATTCCACTCAGCTACTCGCAATTTCTTGTGATATAGTGGGCGGAATATTATTATATGAGACAATTCAATGCAGACGTCTTTCCAAATTTGGCAGATCGACAGGTAACCACGATAGTTACCACGATAGTTGCTATTCAACAACTCGACAACGTCCCATCGTCAACGCCTGCTATGAGAATTTCCCATTGCAGACGTCAACGAAATGACGTCATCGAGCTATCGATCAACTACCCTGGTTATCGCCTGGTACCTTATAGCACGATGCTAGGAGGCGAACCGGAAGAATCGATGAGCTACCTCTCCCCCCAGCACCCAAAGAAATCTTTCCGTTGGAGAAGAACTCGAAAAAATGTTGAGTTCCATGAATTAGATCCACTGTGTTGGGTTCGAAAAAGGTTGGATCAGCTAATTGGATACCATCAGGTATGCTCCAGTTGTTGATGGCGATGGTTGAAGTAGGAAGATTGACAGTCACCCTTGGTAGTAGAAGAAATTCCATACTACGTGTGAATTCCGATGTTCTAGATTTGATGGATGCCTTATCCTTGTACTTGACTTGCGAGTTGGCCTGACCTATGCCAAGAACTGTTACATCCGAACGACTCCGTTTGACTTTCAACCGTTGGCATAGGCGTTCAGTCATGAAATTACATTCGGATCCTGAATCCAACAGAGTCCTTGCTGGATATGTACCTCCTTCGTTATCCTCCACTAAGACGACTGCTGTTGCGAGAAGTACTGATGATGTGCGATGCGATGCTACATTTGATGAAACGGTTCCTGATGTCGAAGCGCCTTCTGTCCTAGCACTTGATTCCGTATCTTTGCCAGATATTAGAATTGCGTTCAGTAGACCCCTTGATCTCTGAATCCTTGCCCTTATCCTTATCAGGGCGAAAACAAACCATACTGTGGTGTTAACCCTTACAATGTCGACAAACAAATCTTGAAGCGCATTCTGCAGCTTGATGACCTCGTTTCAGGCAATTCCGACACAGGGATTGATTCCGAATCAATTTGTCGCGGGCCGAAATCGACATCCGTTGAAACGATGAGCACTGATGGAGTAAGTGTGCTTCGGAACAAGCTACACATCGTCCCCTTGACGATTGTACAGCGGGATGACTTGTACGAGAGACCATTGGTACTGGCTTCCCTTTGATTGTTTGCGAATGTGTAACCTTGGATTCCATCACCTTCCCTGGTAACGAGCTGAGAACCTTTACTCGCCTTTGAAGGAACTCCATTAGGTCCTTAACCTTATCCTGCTCCTTTTCTGCAGAACATTCCTCCCAGGCTCTACGTGTAGATGGGTCTAATCGTGAACACAAGATGTCCACCAACAAAAGGTCCTTGTAATCTGCTGCATTGACCAGCTGATTCAGCGTTTGGATGATCCTTGCAAATCCCTCCAGTAAGGATTGCAATTCGGTGGCAGATTCTCTCGAAAGACTAGGTAGATTGAAGAGAGCATGAGCCTGTCGGCGTTTTAGAAGTTTGCTATCGTTGTACCGCTTCACCAAGGTATCCCAAGCAATTTGATAGTTTGCCTTGGTGATAGCTAACGAATCTATTAATGCCTTGGCCACTCCTGCAAGGCATCCCTTGAGGTAATGAAACTTTTCAACCTCTGGAAGATCACTCTTCCAATGGATTAACGACGAATAAAGATCACGGAAACTCATCCACTCATCGATATTCTCGATATATATTGTCGAACGTCTGTAATTGTATTTGTGGTAGCCGCACATGTTCGATCGTAGGTTGTTGCGATGAATCAAGTCCACGAGCCGATGCGTTCATCGAGGGTTCCTCCATCTCCTTCAGTTTGTCCAAGAATGCCGACTTAGCCTCAAAGTAGCGTATGCTGAATTCAGAACGTTGTGTTATATACGTATCTGTATCATCGGTGAAATCGTCATGCATCTCGATATCTGTAATAGTTTCATTGACCTTCTCCCACATGTCTTCCAGTTTCTCCAACCGGACGGTAACCTGCCTGACCGTTGTAGATTCACCAAGTATTTTTGCAAATTCGCAGTATTAGTATTTTCCAGCGTACGTATCGTAGCTGGCTTCTTCATAGGCATGTTGTTGGTAGTACTCAGTCGTCAGTAGCATTAAGAGATAAATACAGGTGCCAGAATCGTTATAGATTCTGGCTTCGGCCAGACATACACTGTAGAGCTATTACTAACCTTAGGGAAAATAAAACGATGCACCCCTACAGGTATGTTCTGTCTTTGATGCCTTGGTTGGAAATTAACGAGATACCATCCAATAGAATTTGTCTTGCCAGAACCGATTGTTCGCAGAAGGATAATAATATATGTGTGTAGTATTTACGAGATAAGTCCGACTTCGACCGGACATATACTATTCTAAACTGACCTGGTAGAATCAGTATCGATTCAGTTCCAATAAGAGTGTTGTTGGTTAATCACAAGTTCACATCTGTTGCTCCTTAATAGTAAAACGTGACTGTGTAATCATTGAGCATCAACGAGCCCCTTGATCATACGTTCCACAAAACGATCACGCATACAGATTCATTCAATGTTCAATGGGTAGTGAAAAACAAACATTCAGTATCGATCGAGTCCTAACAACGGCTAGACATATACGGTGAAGCATGCATTTCACTGATCTTTAAATGTGCCTCCAATGAATGTGCTTCCAGTGACCGTGATTCCAGTGATCGTAGATTGTTTTTCCGAGTGTTGCAGAAGAAAATGAATGCAACGAATTGCATATACCGGTGCTTCTTCAGATCATTCGATGACCCAGTACATCGATGTATTCAATTGCGTAGCAATAGCACAACGGCGGCGATACGTTTGTAGGAGTGTGTGTGTCCTCAAGAGGATTTCTTGTAGTTTGTTATTGTTTTGAAGATCATGGAAATGAGAACAAACAAACTATTGTGTAGCAACCACTTGTTGACCCAGCAACGACTGAACATATATTATTTGTTTCCTTTAATTTACCTGGAAAACCAGGGCTAGTGTCTAGTTTAATGTAGGAAAGTCCAACGCTGAATGAATAATGCAGTTGATGAATGGATCGTCAATGGGTGAAACATTTCAGCGAACCACTTGCATGCAACGATATCACCGGAGCAATCATGGATGATCGAGAGCCGTGTGTTAAAGGTAAGGCGGTGTTAGAACTGTGTTTGATCCTAGATTCGACTGGACATATACGTGTAGATCTTTCTACTAACCTTCGAAACGGTGAAGTGGCTCCTTGCCCAGTGATGATGCCCAGTGGAATATTGTGACCGTGGTTTCATAGAAGACGGTGTTTCCAAATCGTAATGGCGTATTTTGCCGAATAATAGCCTATCGATGGCACTTCGAAGACAATGTCGATTGTTCCCGTTGGCTGGTAATTCACAATATTACGGCTCCATAGCCGATTGCACATAACAAACATTTATACGTATCGACATCGACTTCAATTACAACACTAAACTTGTTATAAGTGAAACGTGGATTTTCAAACATGTAAACTGCTTTTACATCGTTTATAACGATGTGTTCATTTCGACTTTTGAAGTAGTCGGAAGAATACTGATCGGTCATGCCCACTATTTTCAATCTTGGCACCGAAGTGGGAATAACAGCACCCATATTGCGTTCAATACAATTTTTCACATCACTAACATTTGCTCCTGTTGCACACTGAACAATAATAGAGCCATCTTTACCATTCCTAAAATTACTGATTTTGTGTGTTTTTGGATCCAACTGAGTTTTTAAAACCTTATGAATATCTTCGCAGGGTTGTCTGGACTCTTTCGGTTTAATCACAATGACTGGACGAGTCTTACGATTATCTGGTTTGTAACTTTTACTTTTACTGTTACTAGTAGTTTTACTTTGACTACCACGACTATGATTTTTTACAACATCCGCAAAACTTGCATTTTCCCGAAATACAACATCATCATCATGATCACTATTTTGTATTTTACGTTTTTTAGCGTCTGGTATTTTGGTCCGATTCTGATTGAATCGTCCTAAATGAACTGCGCTGATCATTCATTACAGCTAATTGGTTTTCCGCATCAAATTAAAAAAAATTACTTTTCATATTATCCAGTTTCTCACAAATTAAATTTAAATACCATTTCGTGTAAATTTAAGCGCAAAATTGCATAAATTAGCAATATTGTATGCAAGATTGTAAACGATTTCGCTGTTTATGCCAAGTATAGCTCAAAATTAAACGAAGAGAGATTTTACGCGATAGTTAAAATTCAGATTTTTTCTGTGCAGGATTTTCAGAGTTGGGAAGAAATGCTCTATTTATATCAACATGAATCTTCAGTACGATAATTCCTTAGCTAGAGAAATTTCTGGAGAGGATAGATAGATCCGCTACGGCAGTGTGAACATTGAACTGAAAGTGAAATTAAGCGAAGGGTCATTAATGTACCAATACTAAATAATCAAACGCACACTCGTTTACCTAGCTCATTGATAGTTGAGGGGATTTGAGGTGTCCTCAAATCCACAGGAAAAAAAAAGCGGTGGTTTGATTAGAGAAGGCGGTTTGATCGCTCAATTTCACTTTCCGTTCCATTTTCACACTGCCATACTCTAGTGGAACTATCAATCTGTCCTCTTCAGAATTTTCTCTAGCTAATAAATTAACGCACTTAAGCTACATGTTGATAGAAGCATGACATTTCCGCCCAACTCTACTTCTGATTTTTCTTTCAATAACACAAGACAATTTGTTGCTAAGCATGGCTCGTAACGTCTTTAATCCACGTTAGATGCTCCTTCACACTCGTGTACACCCCCGGAACACCCTCCTTACCGCAGTCTTTCACTCCAAAGCTGGCAATCCCCTTCAGCACCCATACCGCTTTGTTCCTATCGAAATGCATCAAGGGTGACCCGCTGTCCCCCGCGCAGGCATCCATCGCCTTCCGACCACCGGCACAAATCTGCGTACGCTGTAGTTCTACGTTCATCAATTTGTACACGTCCTTGCAAACCTCCCAGCCGACAAACGGTAGCCCTACCTTCATCTTGACTGGACTCCAACTAATCGATCCCATGTCGGAAACTGCAGCAGAAAATATTGAATTTGAGTAAAGCGACTCGTTTTTATTAAGCACGGTGACAACCTACAGAAATCAGTTTTTCCCCAGCCGGCAACGTTATACAGTCTACCTCGCCGATCACCGTGATCAGATCCTTCCACCGGAAGACAGATCGGAAGCAGAAAGTCGGAATAAGCCGGAACAGGATCGATCTGTATGATGCCAATGTCGTGGTTTCGGGAGGATGAACCGTATTTGTACTCGGGATGGGCCATCAGCTTGCGAGGTTTCATGTCCAGCTTTTCCTCGGAGCAATCCATGAACCCACCCTGGACCATGCAATCCGGGTCCTGGTAGACGTCGTACTCCCGCAGACGGACGTATTTTCTGAAATGGACATTGGTGTGATTAATACCGGTTTATGGTGGGGTATGCAAATGGATAATGCTTTGGTGCGCGAATGGTGAGTTTTTTTTTGTAATCAATGTGGAGTCGATGTTAATAAGAGTCCCGGGGTAACGCCAGAAATACCAAATCGAACTGTCAATCTGATTCCAAAACTTCCCACATTGATCGATACTTGACAGTATTTTACACTTTTTCTTGTTGTGATTCGAGAATTGCAATAATCACTTCGAGAATACTTTTGGTTTTAAGGTTGATTTTATTGAAACTCAATACGTCAGGTTATCTTACGAAGACATGGTACAATATCGATAGTTCATTATTTACATAGTTCATTTCTGCTTCACATTCTCACACTCCCTATCTCCCTATTGCCTATATATGAGATAGCACACATTCAAATACTACTAGCAAGTTTGTATGCAAGAGGCAAAGCTTCTAGCTGACCACTAAAGCTTCTCCATTCAATATTGCATACAATACCATATGCGAATAACAGTTACGGCTCGCATTTCTCATGTTTACACTGACAATTGTCATCCGATGTGTCAGTACCGATCTATCAGTTGAATGGTAAATTGTTATTGTTTACTCCACAAGACGATGGTGATAATATCACCGCAGTTTGTTTCTCAACACTTCCCCACAATTTTTACATTCAACAGCTCGAATAACCTTCGATGTGTATTTTTAGGTAACCCCATTGTGAATGCATCAGCTGGCTGATCTACGCTCTGGATAAATTGTAGCTTCAACTTTCCTTCCTTGATGAGTTCCCGGATGAAGAGATACTTGATGTCCAGGTGTTTCATTCGTTGATGTGATCTCGGCTCCTCTGCTATGTGGATGCATGGTATACTGTCTTCCATAATAATGAATGGTGTTATGACTACGTCCAATTAATTCAGAAGTTTTGTTATCCACATTCCTTCTTTCGTAGCAGCGCACAATGCTATTAATTCAGCTTCACTCGTTGATAAGCTTATTGTTGGTTGCCGTTTCGTTGACCACGAAACAAGATTGCCGTAGAGTTGAAATGCATAGCCAGATATTGATTTCCTGTCGTCTGGATCGTTCGCAAAATCCGCATCTCCAAATCCTACTAAGGCTGGTCTATTGGCTTGTTTAGAGTAAACTATTTTGGTGTTACTGGTTCCTCTCAAATACCGTAAGATGCGTTTTAGCCCTGTCCAATGCCAATCGGTTGCACAGTTGGTATATTTACTTAACGCATTCACTGCAGCGCATATATCCGGTCTGGATGTCAATGAGAGGTATTGTAGACATCCTACTAATTCTCTGTAGGGTTGATCAGTAAGTTTTCCTTCAGATTTCGACCATTTTGTATTAGTGTCCAATGGTGTCCCCACTGGTTTACACTCGGCCATTCCAAATCTTTCCAGGAGCCTTTCAACATACTGACTTTGTGAGATTTCAATGGTTTGATTGTCAAAATCTCGATTTATTTCCATTCCTAGGAAATGTTTTACCTCAGACAAATCTTTCATTTGGAATAACCTTCCAAGTTTTTCTTTGATCCACAATATATCATCTATATTTTTGGCAATTAAAAGAATGTCGTCTACATAGAGAATTAGGATGATTCCTTTGGACTTTGATTTGTAAATACAACAGTCATTTTTGAGTGGAACAAATTCTAGTTCTCTCATCGCATCATCGAAACGTTTGTTCCAAGATCTGCTTGCTTGTTTAAGTCCATACAAGCTTTTATGTAAACGAACAATTTGGCTTTGTCCGTTTTCTTTCGGTGGGAGTTTCATGGAGATTTCCTCTTCTAGATTCCCATTCAAAAATGCTGTTTTGACGTCCATTTGGTGTACAAGTAATTTGTGTTCGTTAGCCAGTGCAAGAGCTAAACGAACGCTTTCCAGTTTGGCAACAGGTGCGAATGTATCACTATAGTCAAATCCTGGTCGTTGTGAGCATCCCTTTGCCACTAACCGTGCTTTATACCGTCCATCTTCTTTCATTGAGAAAATCCATTTCGAATAAATTGGCTTGACTCCTTCTGGCACACAGTTTACCACTGTCCAAGTGTTATTATGATGCAATGCATCAAGCTCTTCTTGGAGTGCACGTTTCCACTCAGGCCAATCAAAAAGATTTTTCAGCTCTTCAATATTTTGCGGAATATCTTCGTTACGAATTATTGCCGTTTTCGCTGTGTACTCCGAATACCAACGTGGAGTTTTCCTATCCCTCTTGCTACGTCTCTTTCATCGACTTGACTTTCATAAGTACTTTCATAATCAGTTTCACCAACTGATTCTTCTGCTGAAACGTTATCTTCTTGATTTTCTTCAATCAGCGTACTGTCTTCATTCCTCTGCTCTTCGTCAGAAGTTGATACCTGATCTTCAATATCTTGTCTTTGATCTTCATAGTTCTCTTTTCTATGCAATTGTGTACAAAAAAACAAATCCTGTTGTTCTGATTCGATTTCATGAGAGAGTATCGTGGATTCATCGAATACAACGTTTCTACCTATTTCAATTGAACGTGTATCTGCATTCCACAATCTAAATCCATTGTTTGCGTAGCCCACAAAAATCAATAGTTTAGTTTTCGGATCTAGTTTATGACGTTTTTCCTTGGCGATTTGCTTGAAAGCTCTGCATCCGAAAATTCTCAAATGCTTCAAGTTTGGCTTCTTTTTAAACCACATTTCATATGGAGTTTTGTTTTCTTCTATCCCATTCGTAGGAGATCTGTTGATTAGGTATGTTGCTGTACATAATGCTTCACCCCACATTGCTTTAGGCAATTGACTATCGTAAAGCATTGCTCTTACCTTTTCCATCAACGATCTATTCATTCGTCCACTTACTCCATTTTGCTGTGGAGTGTATGGGACTGTGAACATCATTTGAATTCCGATTTTCTTACAATGATTTTGGAATTCAGTACTTGTGTATTCTCCGCCATTATCACATCTAAGCATAGAAATACGTGCTTGAAAATATGAAGATGCCATAGCTTCAAACTCCTTGAATCGTTCGAAGACTTCAGATTTGTGTTTCATGAGGTAGACCACGAGAAAATGAGTGTAGTCATCAATGAAGGTTACAAAGTAGCGGTAACCATCATACGTTTCCTCTTCCATACTTCCACAAACATCTGAGTGAATTAACTCCAATGGTCGTTTTGATCTTGGCAATTTCATATCCTGAAATTTGAAAGCGGATTGCTTTCCTGCCAGACAGCCCTTACAAATACTTGTTTGATTCCGTTCTCCATATGATAGATTGATACCCTCAACCATCCCTTTTGACATTAGTTTCTCCAAACCTGTAGCACTCAGGTGTCCCAGTCTCTTATGCCAAGTAGTAAGACTCACCTGTTTTCCAATCAGTGCAGAACATGTTACATTTTCTGAGGACTTTCCATCCCAAATACAATCAAGGTAGAACAAACCATCAATGAAACTTCCTGAAGCAATGACTTCATCTTCAGACTCAAAGATAACCTCTTTATTCGTAAAAGTGACCCTTTTCCCATGCTGGCTTGCCTTTCTAACCGAAAGAAGATTTTCTTCAAGTCCAGGAATGAAAAGAACATTGTACAATTCAAGACTCTTTATTGAATTTTTGCCAACAACGCTCTTCAATCTCAACTTACCCATCTTCGTTGCCCGAAGATTTTCACCTGTCTTGGCGGTTGAGACAATCACTGGCTCCTCCAAATCCTTTACTATCTTTCCTATACTATCTAGTTATAAAGAGGCACACAATCATACAAGTTTTGAGTTCATTCCTTTCGATTAAAAATATAGTTAAATCTTGATTTTATATAACTCCGAATGTTAGTTAGCTGTTCCGAGGCCAAGTAGAACCTCCACGAGGCGTCCCATCTTTCGTCTCATCATTAGTTCCACCATTGGTTGAGTCACAGCGTTGAACCTGACTGTTCGCCACGAAAAGGCTTGCCAATGCACATCAAAAATCGACTACATACATCCGAACATTTGTTTATCTCAAATCGAAGGAAGACATTCCACGCAACTACCATAAACCGGACTAGTTCATGTTGATCTTCGTCAAGCTTCATCTACAATTTGGACTTCTACATCAATACATGTCAGGCAGCCTTCAGATTCAATTGGCTAAACTTGGTGAGTTCGTTCCATTTTGTAAATTTTTATCTTTTCAAACCAGTAACTTTGGGAGATCACCTTTTTGTGGTGCGTTACTGGTGTAAGATCTACCACCGATCCCTAGTCGTGACAACTTCAAACTAGGGAATCAGCATTTTCCTGCAATTAAAGAGTCACATTTTAGTCCTTGTTACTTTTTATGTCTTGATAATAGTGACAAGACTAGGGTAGTGACCACCGCGCCGTTATGCATTTCTTTATTGTATATTTCAAATCAAAAATATTGTTAACGTTCATAGATTTCACATAATCCTTTTCCCTTTGTCCTTCTCCTTTTCCTATCCCTCTTCTCTCTTCAGAAAGCGAGTAATGGCGCTATAGCCATAAGTCATAAAAGGCTAGGACAAGAGTTAGTGCTCATGCCCCAACCGTCAGAAGAAAATCGAGCACCACTTAACCTTTCTAGCTTTAATGTTTTCAACGACCAACCAATCATATAATTACCAAAATCCGAACGTTCGGTACTAGATGTAAACGTTTCATCCATTTAATGGATTCTGAAGCATCGTGTTTAAATATTCGATTTAAATAGGCCCGATGATTTCTGATCATCTTGCCCCTTAAATGCTGCACAGTAGGCCTGGCCTTTTTGATATGTGCAACGCATCTTCGATGTGAAACATATATCAAATATATCATATTATATATCATTTTCCCGGATGCTTTTCAAGAACTGGCTGTGTTGGTGTTAGATAAGATAACTCCGAATGTTAGTTAGTCCGATGGATCGATTGAAAAATTGTTCTGGGTAAATGCTTCATTACTTTTTTTTTTCTTCAAACATAAGAATCATGACATTCAAAATCCGGTATCGTAAAAACCTGATGAAATTAAATTATAACATGATTATTCACAATTTTTGCCGCATTTCAAGATTTTTCGAAATTTTTAAATTTTTTTTTTTTTTTAATTTCTTATCTCGAAGAAATTTTGTGAGTCTCAGAATCTAGGTAAGTTTCCTAAGATTTTGAATTACGAATTTTATAGACCAGGAGATTCAAAACTTGTCCAAGCCTATACTGCCCTTAAAAGCATAACTGTCCCATAGGAAATCAAGCAAAGATGAGACAATTATAGGCAGTATAATATATCTATAACTTTTTTAAATCAATTAAACTTATTTTGAACTAAATTATATTGAAATTTTCATATCAGGCACATTTATTTTGTGGAGTTTTTTTTTTAACTTTTGATTAGGTCAAACATATTATAATTTTTAAAATTCTTATTTGTTTATAACATTAATATACTAGATTTATTATGAAATGACTTTCTAGGAAGGATCTTGAAATTTTATCTTAGTCTTATAATTAGGAAAATTGATCCAAATTCGCTGTCTTTTATTTACATTTGTATTCGAAGATTTTATACTTACAATCTGTATCAGAGATATCCTTTTAATTAGTTACAAAATCTTAAAAACATATGGGTTTGGAATCCCAAAACTATTTTTATTTTAACACTAGCTGAGTGTGCCCGGTCTTGCTCGGGATTCAATATTAGCTTGAGTTTATGCGCCGATTTAAAAAAAAGCATGCTATATTGTACGTTATTGGTGGATTTGTTAGTTATTTTGACGCTTTCGTATAATGCCTGACATTTAACATTTTTTCCAATAGTTTTTTGTTGGAAATCAACCATCGATGCGTAGGAATATTTCTGATCGAATGGTGATAAAATTAATGAAATTGGTCCAGGGGCAGCTGAGTTATTAACGTTCAAAATCTTTCATACTTTCGTTACATGTTCGATTTTCGGTTTTCACAAAGTGTACCCCCATATAGATATCACAGACGTAGTCTTACGTCAAAAAACTGTGCATCTTGAACATTTTCCTACGTCTTAAATGTATTAAATTTATTCTGTGTGCACTTTACCTTGAAGCAGTCAGAATTTTATAAAATTATTAAATTCAAACTCCTAGAATGTAATTCTGGTTCCTATGCCTGAGATGTGACTGATGGTGAAATATTCAAAATCTAAAAAAAAAGCTAGTTACAAAATTAATGAAATTACCTAACTCTGAGAATTTTCTTAAGTTTGAGATGCTTACATTTACAAGTTCCGGACTGGGATTTCATTACAAAAACCATGAACAAACGATCATTGAAAATTTAGTCGATTGCCGAATTAATGTATAGACCCAAATTAGGGACACTTAAGCCGACATTACATACATTTCCCCTATAATCAAATTTATTGTGTCACGATTAAAATATGCCATGCAAAAAAAATGTACCCAATATAAGTTGCCTTGACGTAATTTGAATGAGTTTTTATTTAACCGTAGTTTTGAAAAATTAAAAAAAGTGCAGCGGCCCCCTTAGGCCTCCTTCAGAAAAATTTTCTAACTACGCCAATGGAGACACCGTAGTTAAATGACGAAAGCTGACTACTTAAGTTACAATTTGCATTTGGTGTAAATTACAAATCGCTTAATGGGTGTTTATACAGAAATCAGTCAGCACTAACCTAACTTTAGTAATCTTTCCATTTCTTGATGTTTCATTAAAAAACGCAAAATTCTTTTATATATTTCTGTCTCCATTCTGGCCACTGAACGTCCAACTATGCTTGAACAATTGTAATCAAAACATGCCTCTGTGGGTTATTCCAATTGATAGCATTGAAATATGAGACCTATGCAGATGTACCGTATGAGTAATTTTGTTTGTTCCATCATACAAATTTCATAAAACTTGCAAAGAGAACACAGAGGAGTGCCTATCCACTATCAGAGTAAGTATGTCCTTTGAGAGGTCACATAGCAAATACGGACAGTATCCCAATGCGGTCATTGCGTAAAATATCATCTACATCCAACTGCCATAGTGGACAAAAGACATGTGGCCACCGCCTAGCCTAGGCCTATACCAAACGCCATTTGATACAGTTCAAACAAACATTTCGTTGTTGGTATCATTTCTGAAACTGCTGGATCTTGAACTGCATGCAATATATAAAGGCAAACAATCTCCAGCATACACTAGGTATAATTCACTGATAGTAAGTATACTTACAGTTGATCCTGTTTTGATTCACCGGTCTTCTGCACAATGCAATGAGCTGCCGTCAGAACAAATCTCCTACCAATGAGAACGCCTCCACAATGATAATACAGGGATCTCGTTTTTCCTAAAAAAAAAAACACAGTTGTCAATGACCACCATGTGTGCAACACACTTCTAATCAAAACTCACTCTGTTGCTTCAACAGCATTGCCATCCAAGGAAACTCATCGATATCAGCTATTGTACCACCACGAATACGGAAGCTGTACGCCGCTTGACCACACACCGCAGCATCTTCGTAGTCTCCCAACTGGTATCGATCGCTGTCCGGACAGCAAACCTCCGATCCATCGTACCTTCCGCACTGCAACCGCTGGATGAAATCTTCCCGCTCGATCAAATTCAACGCACTGTCATTCACAATCTTCTGATAGGCCACACATTTCCTGTCTGCCGTGCAATGTCCCGCCTTCAACTGTCCGGGTATGTCACAGCTAATACGTTCCAACGAATCTACAAAACGATACAAACTATGTCCATTCAGCTTCTGGCAGCCCGAACAACTCCCGATCAATCACAAACCTTTATTCAGCACCCTTGAATCAACACTAACTAACAGCAGCATCATTATCAACGTCAGCAGCGGCAAGGTCTCTGGCACGATCATGTTAACGACTTCTGATTGACTGGTTTGCTTCTTGACCCTTGAGTACACGCAGCGTTGTGGTCGTGGTCGTCGTCACCGTTATAGCTGTAGAAATAACACTGCTGCTGTTGATGGCAAAATTTTGCGACTGCGCGGGTTTGTTCGTTGGGCGCGTATGCGAATGCTTTCATCGTGCGCTCTTCTAATGACGAAGATGCGATGTTTTTTTTTATATGTTGTTATCGATCGCAGCATCCTGATGGGGAACGATCTGCTGAGATTATTATTCCCAAACCACTTCAATTCTCGTGCCGAAAATACTATCAGCAGCAGCAACACGTGCTGCCTCCCAGCCGTGGGAAACTATCCAATACTGGAAAATGTGAATGACTGAGGTAGGTACCTACTGCTGCTTCTTGCAAACTACTCAACCAGCTGGCGTCATACGATAGGATGACTGGACAAGGCAGGACAAACGTTCCTGATGGTATACGGGAGGGGTTTGTTTTTGTTCGTAGAGCAATTCCACGCCAACTGAGAAATCGATTTTATTTGTCCCTCTCAGAATTCCATGAAGCTTCGCATAATTGTTGACCAGGGGCAATGAACCAAGTTTGTGGCGGAATACTGCCATTTTGAATAACGCTTAATTTTTAAAAATGGCGTATTCGATAATTTTCAATAAATCATAGCATGAAAACGTCTGATCTAATCGAATTGCCCTTTGTGACAAAACTGCAGGAAACTTAAATGCCTTTTCATAAAAAATACACACTGAAATTTTTTAGAAATTTTTATTAAGTAAAAGTATTTCAATTGCAGAAGAACATTTTTTCTAATATTGCATTTTCTACGATTTTGGTCAATTTTAAAGTGTTATTGAAGGTTTCAAAAGTTCATTTTTATTATTTTTGACGAAAATTTTTAAAGTATTTTTTCAGTGTGTATTTTTCTGAAAATCCAATCCAGTTACCTACAACTTTGTCCTAAACACTACGAAAAAGTCATGTAAATTTCCATGCCCTGAGACCGACACATGCCATTGGCCTAAATGACATAAGAATTAGTTGAAAGAAACGGGAAATTCAATTCAATCAAGCGTACTTTTCGTCGAGTTGCGTATGCTTCAGTTTAGGAACACTTAATTTTATATGACATGTTTGTTTACGTTCCATAATTTACGTCAAAGATGGATTACGTCTCGTGTAAAAATAGTTATTTCTAAGTGTGTAGATGTCATTTAAAATAGATTAGTCATTTTCATGCTATGATTTATTGAAAAATAACGAATACGCCATTTTGCAAAATTAGGCATGAGTAAAAATGTCCGAATTTTCGCTGAAACTTGGTTCATTGCCCCTAGAGAAAAATTATGCAAAGTTCCCTGGAATTCTTAAACGTAAAATCTAAAATTTATTAATTTTTTTGCTATTTGACCTGGAACTGCTCAGTAGTATTTACGTCTACGCCTTTGATGAGTGATTACGCCGCAGATTGGACTTGATCGTCTGCGGGTCGTTCCGCGAATTTCATCAAGCTGAGTAGGTATGTTTGTGTCGTTGCGGTGAATCGTTACAGCGGGTTTCCCGGATAATTTAAAGAAGGCATTTCCGGTAGTTTACTGGCAGGATTTGCTTGAATTATATGTCGCTATTGGCAATAAACGGCTAAAGGCGAGTAGACATATTCGTTGAAACTGGTCTTAGAAAAGTAAGTGTTGCATTACGGGTATGCTTTGTGCAAGGTAGTCTGCATTGAAGTTGGGATTCCCAGTGATTTGGTGCGACCCAGTTTACAGCTGGTTAACAACTCTGGAATTCCGGTCAAAACTGGTTGGGCGGTGGTTGTGTAAATGATCGCATTATGTTGCAATGTTGTTTTCGACTAGGCACAGCGTTTAAAAAACATAAATCAGCAATGTTCAATCTTTTGAAATTGTCGAACCTCTTAACGGAATCCCTTTATGAAGAGCTTTGAGTGTGTTGGTTTATTTCCTTTAAATTCCGCTATAATTGCTTATCTTTTGACAGATACGCGTATTTCGTCTACTCCTTGCAGACTTCATCTGTGCCAAGTACTCAACACCACTAAATCAGCAATGTTGTATACAGGATTCTAAAAAACTCCGATTTATATGCAAATTATAGCTTATCACGAGGGGAGATTTCGAGTTGGTTGAAATTCAGAACTGTTTACTGAGAATGAACTATGAGTGATGGCAGCAATGCGAAACAATCAATTTTTCCAGTTTACAATCGGGGTGGTGGAATCACCGGAATGTGGGAGCGACCCCGGCATCCATACTTCTCACGCCAAAGTCACGAGTTCAAATCTCACTCCCGGACAAGTCACGATTAACCTAACTAAAATCCTGAACTTAATAATCGGCAATCTCCATACAAAGAAGTAGCCAAAGAGTGCAGTTTCGAACCCCTTCGGATACGGTTGTGTTTTAAATGTGCTCTCTGTTTTGTGCGTGCGTTCGCTTTCATAGTTTTCGGCTGAATTTGTCGGATTAGCGCTGGCACTCTGCCTCCCGGACGGCTGATATTGGTGATGATGGCTTGTGATATTGGTGCCTCGGATTTTAGGTGATATTGATCTTGAAAGATGCACATCATCAGATGGTTTCAATAAGATATTTAATGCTCTCCAAAGTATTCTGTAGCTAAGATTTTGAAGATCTACAGGCTAAATAAAGTCTTAAATAATGTCTTGAGAGTTTGAAAGGGTTCTTGAAGTTCAAGGCAGCCATATTTCAACATGCACATCATCGAATGGTTTCAAAAAGATATTAAATTTGCTCCAAACAATTATCAGGTTAAAATCTCGAAGTTTTACAGGATCAATGAAGTCTTTTCAAATTCCTGAAATTTTTTATCTGTGGTTATGAGTTGTCGACGACTACTTTGCACCAAACTAGAACAAAAAACAATTTTTAATATTTTCGCCAGGAACAGCGCAATTGAATTTGGATTATGATTCACAAAATTTTACTTGAAAAAATGCAACCGAATTCGGATCACAAGAAGCGAAGTCAAATTTTACTTATAAAATCGCAATCGAATTTGGATTGAAGAAGCGAAGTCAAATTTTACTTGGAAAAGCGCAATCGCATGGGATCCAAAAAATCTGTGATGATATAATGTATAATATGTGTTAATAGCTTATGAATTAAATCCGTTAACTGACAGAACCCCAAGGGTACAAAGAGTGTGGCGATGCTGTCATACGCATGCTGCAATTAAAATTTTGAAAATGGAAGAAATTAACTCAGCGATTAATGCTCTCAGCAGGCATGGAAAATCATCAACGATAAGGTGATCCAAGAGACGTTTCTCAGTGATACTGACAGCTAGAAATCTAGAGTGTGACAGTGATATCAACAATCAATACGAAACTAACGATTTTAAATTGGCTCACCACTTTAGTAGCCTATTGGTCCCAAGCAAACGATTAACGTACCCTATTCTAGTTGAAATTCTATTACTACACTATGTTTGTTTTGATTCGCTATGAAAGTTTGACAGATAACATCAGGGGTGTGTGGATTCATGCAGAACATGCAGGGGTGAGTGAAATAGCTTGGGACTGCTTGGGACCGTTGTTCTGGTACTGAGTGAGCCAAAAATAATAATGATTTTCTTCGGGACCCAGTGGTCTTAGAGTTACCTCTATGGTGATATGGTGTTAATGGTGCTGAAAAAAAAACCAAAGAAAAAAGTTAGAGGCAAATGAATGTAAATGAATGCACGAAATGAATGCAAATAATTTACCATGCCTGGCTCTCAGTGCTTAAGGGGGGAAATACAAGTAACACGTCAAAAACTCGACGATTTTCGGAATTTTTTTGTGAGCAAATGAAACAACGCAAACGTTTGCTTAAATCTTCCTCTAAATTTGAGATTTTTTTCATAGAACTGGCAGCTTATTCTCATATGAATGTCTGCTTTGTTTATGTTTAAATTCAGCACCATTAACACCATATCATTGTCACACTCTAGATTTCTAGCTGTCAGTTTCACTGAGAAACGTCTCTTGGATCACCTTATCGTTATTATCTTTTATTTTCAATGATTGACTTTAGTGGGTAAATAGGCAACAGGTTTGCTTTGTTTCAGTTCAACGTGTTTGTTTTTGACGTTGGATAACGTCTTTCGGCAACATACGGGGGTACAAAATTGAAAACAGTCATTTTGGATGAGTTACGAAAAATTAAAAGATTTTGAACGATAATAACTCAACCATCTCTCGATAGATTTACGAGATAATGGCATCAATCGATTGGAAATATTTCTAGCAATTTACTGAATGTTTCAAAACTATTGATTTCATTCTGTAAACTATTGAAAAATTGTTAAAAGTAAACCATTGTCTAAAGATGGTGAAAATCGATTGATTTTTTTATATTCTTATACTTTCTCCAACTGAGACATCAGATGCGAGTATCTGACACCTCTGATATTTTCTGTTCTACTATATAAGCGTCCAACAAGGTCGCCCGTTCCATCATTGTCTATCCGATCGTCGACCCAGCAGCAGAGCAGCAGAGCAGCGGAAGCAGAGCAACGGCAGCAGAGCAGCGGCAGCAGAGCCTGGGGGCGAAAGGGCAACTACGCCGAGTGCGTTGGTGCCAGTGCTCCGGTATACTGGGCCGCCGTCATGGAATGCCCAGCTGCTGCAGTTCTCAGTCGGTCGTATTCACCGTATGCTCCGCAAGGGCAACTACGCCGAGCGCGTTGGAAAAATGGCCCTTTTCAGGGCCACAACATTATCAAGAAAGAGTTTAACGATTAATTTTCTAATGCCTTTCCGACACTTTTTTCATGACTTTCATCGGCCTCCTGATATTCATGTGATTTTGTGGTGGGATTTTTAGCTATGTGAAATTCACATGGTTTTGATCCATTAGATACCTATGTGGTAAATTTTTTGAGTGTGCTTCGGCAATCAAAATAAAGTTTGCACGATGGAAGCGCACATCGTAAATTTCGTTCATTTTAGTAATAATTAAATTGCCCCTCTCCCCCTACCCTCTGGCAGTACATGAAAAGCCTTTTTGTGAGGGGAATTTTCCAAAAGGATGCCGATTAAAATAATGGGTACCATTTTCTGAGGATGAGATGAGAACGATTCGTCATCCATATGAAGCGTGTCACGATCATTCCCAAGGTATTTTGTGTTCACCTACTAACCAGGCTCGGTTTTATTGTTCTATGAGCCCACAGTATAGGCGTAATAATAATCTAGAAGTATCGCTTCAATACGATTAACCGGTTGACTAAGCAAAGAAGACCGGAAGTCCCAACGGTAACGGTAAATGTTGAGCAATGAAGGAACAATACGCACACCACGATCATTTCTGAAATCTCAACCGTAATTTGCTAATGAATTTCATTCCGCTGCATCAATGTAGGCCATAAGTCCAGGGCCACCGCAGCTCTGCAAGGTAGGGGAAATGGATCTAAGATTGGGCCCATCGCTAAAAATCTGCTATTTACCAATCTTATCTATATGAACGTGTCGTTGGGACGGTACTGATGGATATTTTAGGGCGCTATTGAAAATTTAGTCGTTAGTTTAATTTTAGATATGGATGGAATGATATTTATTTATTTATTTATTTATTTCATCAACCGATGTAGACTAGTACAAATACATATACAAATTTGTTTTTCTTAAGAATATTAAAAAATATATTGTCAGCTATTATATTTTTACTTCCTACGAGTTATGATTCCGTATGGAGTTAAAATATTGTTTTAGTTTATGCCGAGACATTGAAAAGTCAATGGTTTCGCAGTATTGATTGTAAGACGCCATCATGCGATTTAATGGCCCAAATTTTGCATAATTTGTGCGATGATGGGTTACGGCAAATAAATTTCGATTTCTGAGTTGTCGAGTAGGTACATAAAAATTTAATTTTGATAAAAGTTCTGCTGAGTTAATGCGCTGCGAAACGATATCGTTTACAAACGAAACCATTGCATATTCACGACGCTCTTTTAATGTTTGTATGTTTATAAGCATGCAGCGTGCTTCATATGATGGAAGAGGAAATGATGTCCAACCTAATTTACGAAGGGCATATAATAGAAATTGCTTTTGTACTGATTCTAATCTTTCTTCGTGCGTGATTGAAAATGGAGACCATACAATGCTGCAATATTCCAGTATTGACCTCACATAGGCAATATATAGTGTTTTAATTGTGTATGGGTCCTGAAAGTTATAGCAAAAGCGCTTGATAAAGCCTAGCATGTTATTTGCCCTGTGAATAATTGTATTGTAATGGTCTATGAAAGTTAGTTTGGAGTCTAAGATAATCCCTAAATCCCTGACTCTTTCACATTTTTCTACATTCTGATTTCCTAATGCAATTGAAATGTTTGATGGTGTTCTTTTTCTGCTAAATGATATTAAGTTGCATTTTTTTACATTCAGTTCTAATAGGCTTTTTTTACACCATGTGTAGAATATGTGTATTTCACTCTGGAATATATTGATGTCTTCATCATTTTTTATTTCCAAAAAGAGCTTCATGTCGTCGGCATAGATTAGCAATTTTATTTTTTTGAGAATGAAGGAAATGTCGTTTACGTACAGAATAAAAAGAAGAGGTCCCAGATGAGAGCCTTGCGGGACTCCTGAGGTGACTTGAATTGGGGTCGATTTCTTTCCGTTGAATTTAATTATTTGTTGGCGGTTAGTTAAATATGATTCAAGCCATTTCAGGAGTCCTGGCTCAATTCCAATTTTTTTCAATTTGAAAAGAAGCATTGGTATGTCAATTCGGTCAAATGCCTTGCTAAAGTCTGTATAGAGAGCTTCTACGTGGTTTCCATTATCCATTGCATTTAATGAATAGTCTATAAATTCAAGTAAATTTGTCGAGGTCGAACGTCCTTTAAAGAAGCCGTGTTGCATGTCAGTAATTCTATTTTTGGTTTGAAGAAATAATTTTTCATTTACAATTGCCTCGAAAAGCTTTGGAATGCAAGAGATAATGGCTATTCCACGATAATTACGTACGTCAGATTTTCGGCCAGATTTAAAAATAGGTACTAAAAATGAGCTTTTCCATATTTTAGGGAAGGTTCCGGATTCCAGTGACATATTAAAAAGCCAAAACAATGGAGCAGTGAGTTCCATTGCTAGACTTTTTAAAAATACTGGAGGAATTCCGTCAGGTCCAGGACCTTTTGAGGCGTCTAAATTCTTTAAAGCCTGCAAAATATCCTGCACTTGAAGTTGATTGACGCCAATGTCCCTTGAAAATTCTGGATGAAATGCAAAATAATCGCGGTCGCGATCTTCATCGGAAAATGTCGTATAGATTTCTTGAAAAAAAATTGCAAAAAGCTTACAATTTTTTTCCGAGCTATCCCCGACACGTTCGTCAAGATGCATTATTGATGGAAAATTGTCAGATTTTAATTTGGTTTTTACGTAATTAAAGAAGTTCTTTGGGCAGGACTTTATTTCAAGTTCAGTTTTTGAATTAAATTCTTCAAATGCATTACTGATGGCTAAATCTAGTTGATCGCATAAGTCCAGATAGATAGCCAAATTTTCACTATTATTGTGTTTTTTGTAATGTTTATGTGCTTTCTGTTTTCGATTTTTTAAGTTTTTTATTTGTCTGTTATACCAGACTGGATTTTTTGTGCTTCTGTAGCGTCTTTTTTTCTTCAAAGGTATTTCTTCCAAAATTATTCCTGATAAAATTTGGTAGAAGATGTCTACAGCAGTTTCGACATTTCCTTCATTCCTTAGAATTATTTGCCAATTGACGCTGTTTAATTTATGTTTGATTTTTTCGTAGTCTGCTAATTTGTATTCAAAGACTTCCTCGTATTCGCAGTCGTTGGGTCTTTGGTATTCGTGTACAAATAAAGAATATTCAATTGCTGTGTGAAACGCTTCGTTTTTCCACAATGGGTTTAATGATTCGGTCACACAGAAATCTTCATAAATATTCGTTAGTAAAAAGTCCAAATAGCAATTTTGTTGATTTTTGATGTGGTTAATTTGGTTCAGTCCTAAATTAGCAGTTTTGTCAAAAATGAACTGCAATGTTTCATTATCCCCAACGACTGGGAGTAAGATACATTCATTTTCAGAGTCCAGAATGAAGTCAGCATGGCGTTGATTAAAGTCTCCATAGATGTGAACTTTAACCTCAGGAGGAAGCTCAGATAGAATTTGTTCAGCACTTTGGAAGAAGGCTTCATAAGTGCTTTTATGAGCATGGTCTGGTGGAAAATACACTGAGGCGAACACGTGCGTTTCACCGGCAATGTGTGATTTCACCCAAATATGCTCAAATTCTGTAAATTTTGGTGTAAAGATAATTTCTGAGTTAAAATTGGCCGAAAGAGCTATAAGGACTCCACCGCCTGACTTCTTCTGAGTTGCATGAAAATTTCTGTCGTCTCTGAATACATTAAAAGCATTTCCAAAGATTTCTTCACTTTTCACGCTTTCGTCCCAGCTTGTTTCAGTTGCCAGAATGACCGAGAAGGATGAGCATAATAAATTTTGATAGATTTCCTTCATTTTAGCTGGGCTTTTCATGCGATTGAAATTTTGACAGTAAATCAAAATTTCAGTCGCATTCTGTTTATGTGAAGAGATTTTTGGAAGTACGTCGGTTGATAAAATATTTTCATTGGTATTATTATTTACCTCTTTCTCGTCGAAAGGAGTCATTGCTTCCGAAAATTCGGGTTGTGAAATTTGTCGGCGCTTTCCCTTATACGCTGCAGGTGTTGGATCCTCTGGTTGTTAAGATGACGCCGATAGGATTCCAAATCGTCAGATGCCGCCTGTTTTGGTACACCATGTTCTTCATGCACCTCGAAAAAGATTTTCCTAAGTTCCTCCGCTGAGGTCGGTAGTCCTTCGGATGCCAAATTAATTTTGATGCTAGTAGTGGTCATTCCTTCATGGCAAAACGATGGCTCCTTGTCATGCATATATGCCAAATAAAGGCGAACGATGTACATTATTTTTGTGTCCCGTAGTCGTGCTTTCAGGAAACGCCCGTCCCCATCAGCTGATTGCTGCGTCAAGCTTACGATGGGTGGGCGCATAGGGTCGAGTGACCATCCAGATGTTTGATTTGATGTATTTGTATTTGATTGCAATGATGACGGCGTTTCAGTCTTGTTGTTGTGTTGTACCTGCTTTTCTGTCCGGTATTGGTTGATGGTTTCACCCTTCCTGAAGTTGATGAATTTTGGGACCGAGAGGGCTGCAATTGGGTGGTCGGTGGTCAATGGCGGACCAGCAAATTGTACTTTCGCTGTGGCCAGTAGTTGCTTGTCCGATCCCTTGGCGCGGCTGTATTCATTTCCTTGGATGATGTTTTTGGTACTGCTGGTGTGGATTTGTTGTTGTTTTCGTCGTTTTCTGCTGCGTTTGGATTTTTCAGCAGCTTTTTCCTGCAACCTGCGAGTCCGTTGTTTTGCGTCAAATTTAGACCAGTCCTGCTTCCAGTGCCATTTGTTGCCTAAAAACCGCCATCCAGGAGATGAATGGTCAGTTTTTGGAGATATTGTATTTTTGTGTACTGGAGGACTTTCAGCTAACTCTTCCTCCAAGGTCTTCTGATGAGGTTCTGCAGCATTTATCTGAAGACTAGAAACAACCCCAGATACAAATTTCACTTCCTCAAGAATTTCCAGAAGTTTCGGCTCTGGATGATGATGATGAGGTGATGATTCGGCCCCTTTTATTGAAAGTGCCATGTCATTAGATAAGCTTGATAGCCGTTCGTCAAGTAATTTTGTAATTTTTTGTGACATCAACGAATTTGATTCGTTGATGCCGGTTATTGTCGCGTGCGCTTGTGAATCACACGTTTTCATATGCTGGCCGACCGCGCTGCACATGTTATTATTGTTTTTATTTATTACTGCCAACGTTTCTTTTACGTCATTTAGCAGGTGCTCAATGCTGTCGAATAATTCTGATACTAAGCAGAATTTTTTTAGGTCAGCAGCAATGCGGTGGTTCGCGTCCGTTTGAGAGTGGATTGCTTCCACAAGTTGCTCCTGTTGATGAAGCAGCTTCCTCACGTCGGCTTCCTTCCGTAAAATGTGCTGGCAGTCAGCACACATAGGCACCATGAATGCCGTGATGAAATGCTCCCGTTGTCGCTGTACTCCGACACAGGCAGCATGGTATTTTTTGTTGCAAAATTCGCACTTCCATAGAAAGCGGTCGTCGTTGATGCTGCATGATATTACACCGCACGGCATAACTGCTTATGTTTTAAATATTCGACGCGATACTATAAGGTACAAATGGCCAGCGAGACCCACACGCGTCGTTGTCGAAGTGTAAAAAAAAAATATATATATATATACAAATTACTTGCGGACCAAAATGCAAATGCGTCCGCGCCCGAAGACAGCTCGTGGCGAAAAAACACTGCACTGGTTAATTTCTTGGAATTCAAGACACGCCTACACTAATCAACCATCATCGAACTTACTCGATGAGGATATCAATTAACTAGGGAGAGCATGACAGAAAGATTCAACCATGTTTTTAATGGATTCATTTTATCACTCCTTGCGCACCACGAAGGAAACTGTTTTGAAAACGAAACTCTTTACCATCAAATTGGTCGTCCTGAAAAGGACGGATTTTGTTAAAGGGTGGGAACTTCGATCGAATTTAGGCCTTCTTTTCGGTCTTCTTGGGCAACAGGACGGCCTGGATGTTTGGCAGGACACCACCCTGAGCGATGGTCACTCCGGAAAGAAGTTTGTTCAGCTCTTCGTCGTTGCGGATGGCCAACTGCAGGTGACGTGGGATAATTCGGGTTTTCTTGTTGTCACGAGCGGCATTTCCTGCCAACTCGAGAACTTCAGCGGCCAGATACTCCATCACGGCAGCCAGGTAGACGGGAGCACCGGCTCCAACACGCTCGGCATAGTTGCCCTTTCGGAGTAGACGGTGAATACGACCGACTGGAAACTGCAATCCAGCGCGGCTCGAACGGGACTTTGCCTTTCCCTTGACTTTGCCTCCTTTTCCACGTCCAGACATACTGCGAACGACACGAACAGTTCGATGCTGAAACTGTAATGATGACATTTCGTTTTTTTTTTTTTTTTTTTTGACAGTTAAATGATCTTTATTTCTTGTGTTTGTGTGGTTTACATGTATGAATTTTTCAAGTGACACAGATGCGTCTTTTCAACTTTAGTACAGTGAGATTTTAATTATTATTTACAGTTCCTAGTCCTATCAGGTCTATTTTAAAGTATGACCACCTTGGTGGGATTGGTTTGATTTGAATTGGAAAAAGGAGACTACTTATAACTACTATTTACAACTACAACTAACCTACAACTACTATATGCACCTAACCTAATATATACAAATTGCTTATCAAAGCATGTTCTGATAAATTACATTTTTCTGCAAATTTAGTCTTAATTTCGTTAATTCTTGAATCTATTTTGGCAATTCCTGCCTCTTCGTGTAAATTTGTTATTCTAGTGTCGAAAGGACGATCAAGAACCATCCTCAGCACTCTATTTTGTGCGACCTGAATTTTGTTCCTGTGAGTCTGTGCACATGATTCCCACACCGGAGCTGCGTAGAGGATCGCAGGTGCTATGATTTGTTTGTAGACGGCCAGTTTGTTCACCCTTGAGAGGCGGGATCTGCGGCAAATCAGTGGATACAGACATCTAGCCAAGGCAGAACACTTGATTACGGTTTTCTCCACATGCAAGCGGAATAGGAGCTTTTCGTCAAACAACATCCCGAGATAGGTTACTTCGGCGGACCACTCAACCCTTGTGCCATCCATGATTACAGTACAAGATGGAGCCGGTTTCAGTTTGGGCGATTGCCGATGGAGGAACATGATCGCTTGAGTTTTGGAGGGATTGATTTTAATTTTCCACGTGGTGGCATAATCAGCAAAGGCGTTAAGGCATCGTTGAAGTTTGTTCGTTATTTCGCGAGGCATCCTTCCTTTGACGGCTATTGCGGTATCATCTGCGAACAGGAAGAACACGCAACCGTCTCCAAGGGGAGGAATGTCGGAAGTATAAATGCTGTAAAGCAAGGGGCCCAGCAGACTGCCTTGCGGCACTCCTGCTGGGATGGAAAACGTGTCGGAAAGACAACCATTCAACGATACCTTAAACGACCTTTGCTGAAGGTAGTTACGGGTGATTTTAACCAAATGTAATGGGAAGTTGAAGTTACAAAGCTTGTACACAAGTCCGTCATGCCAAACATTGTCAAACGCCTTTTCAACGTCTAACAAGGCCATGGCTGTGGACTTGGATACAGCTTTGTTACTTCGGATGTTATTCATCACCCGTACTAGCTGATGATTGGTGGAGTGCCCCTTTCTGAACCCAAACTGTTCCGGAAGGAGAATGTTATTTTCCTCGACAAACTTGAGCAAACGATTGAGAATGAGTTTCTCGAACAATTTGCTCAGCGCTGAAAGGAGGCTGATTGGTCTGTAGCTTGAAGGCAATGTTGGATCCTTACCGGGTTTGCGGATTGGTATGATTTTTGCTACTTTCCAGATACTTGGAAAGTAGTGCAGTTCCAAACATCTGTTGAAGATAACGGTTAGGAGAGACTGCACTTTCATGCTGAGTCTCTTCAAGATCAAGTTGAATATACCGTCAAACCCGGGAGCCTACATGTTCTTGGTGCATTTCAGCGCTGAGCAAATTTGTTGTACTGTAATCATATCCGCCGGAGGCACGACACAAGGGGAGGCATCTAGGTTTTGAACGCATTACGCAACCTGATCTTCGAGCGGACTTTGGATATTCGAGCCAAGCAAATGCGATGAAGCGACATGCTCGCCGATCGCATTTGCTTTCTCCTGTGGGGTGATTAAAAGCCGATCGTCATCATTTTCGACTTTGAGAGGTGGAATGGGTTTGGGATGAGTTTTCAGGACCTTGGCTACCTTCCAGAATGGTCTGGAGCGGTCGTCCAGATTCTGGACAACACGCCCGAAACTTTCATTTCGGAGTGAGTCCATTCTGGAAGCAATCTGTCTGTTCAGATCAGCCATTTCACGTTTTTTGCCCAGATCTCCAGTCCTCTGAAACTGGCGTCTACGAACATTTCTCAGGCGAATCAAAAGTTGGGTGTGGGAATCAATGGCAATAAACTTACCCCTCACAGGAACTCGTCGGACGCACGCCTCGTCAGCCACGGTTATGGCTTGGTGGAGTCCCTCCAACGCTCGGTCGATGTCCTCCACGGTGTCAAGCGGCGGGTTGTCGATGATGTGCCTGTCTACCACGCGTCCAAATTGGGCCCAGTTTACGTGATGGTAGTCCTTGCGCAGGCTTGAAGCAGGAGCCACGTTGCAGCCCAGCTCAGACACCACCGGTTGGTGGTCGGAGCTGAGTTTGTTCAAGGCTACCGGCTTGGACAAGCCGATATTTGTCAGGAACAGGTCTAGCGTCGATGGGTTGCCCGCCGGTGAGATGAATGTTGGTTCATCCGAAAACCAAACGGAGTACAGCCCATGCTGTGAGTGGTCGAACAGGAGACGACCGTTCTGGTTCTGCTGGTAGTTCCGCCAGGCCTCATGGCGAGCATTCAGATCTCCTCCAACTACGAAGCGGGAACCGGTACGGGTGATGGTGGACAGGTCCTTCTTAAATTTAGCCGCTAGTCCACTGCTGGCGGCACACTGTCGAGGGCAGTAGACGGCGATGAACTGGACGTATCCAGTCGACGACTCCACCTCCACACCAAGGGCCTCGATGATAGAGGTGCGGATATGGGACAGAGTGTGGTATTTTATTCCTTTCTTGACGACGACCGCAACACCACCCCCCCTGGAGCTGGTGCGATCAAGCCGGATAATGTTGTGGTCAGGCAACCAGAAGCTGTCGCCGGACTTTAGATGGGTCTCGGTTAGAAGGCCCACGTCGATGCTGTGCTTGCGGAGGAAGTCGGCAAGCTCAATCCTTTTTGCTCTTACGGAGCAAGCATTCCAGAATCACCGGAAGCTTCTTGAGGAGGGGCGGGTTGCACCCGCGAATTCGCTTGCCTTTGCTGGGGAGCACGAAGAGGCGGAAAATCCTCCGTCCTGAATGCTGGGGTTTTGTCCTTCTTGCGTCCTGGTTGATTGTTGCTTGACGCCTGCTTTCGGATGCGTTTGAAGTCCTCGCGTTTGGAGCACTGTCTGTCGGAACCTTGATGTGCACCACCACAGTTGGCGCATTTTAACGCCACGGCTCCATCCGCAGGGCAGTTGGAAGTGGCGTGTTCTTGAGCGCAGTTGCTGCAGCGTGGCTTGATGTTGCAGTTGCGGGTACCGTGACCAAAATTGAGGCACCGCTGGCACTGCGTTACGTCACGATGGCCGCCACGGTATGGCTCCCATCGTACGATGATGGAGTAGATCGATCGGATGGCTTGCAGCGCATTGAGAGTCACCGTCCCTTTCTGGAAGTGCACCAGGAAGAGGCAATCCGGGTACGTCTTCACGTTTTCGTCTCTCCTTGTCATTCGGAATACAGCGATTGGGGCTAGCTTGTACCGGTTGATTTCAGCTTCGACCATCTTGGGGTCGAAATTTGGTAGACCCCTGATAACTACCTTGAAGGGCTTCTCGCCGGGGATGTCGTGCGTGAAGAATTCCGCCTTGGAATCCTTCAGATATTTCACGGCCACTTCGTACTCCGCTTTTGTTCGCAGCATCACCTTGGTGCCGATCCTGCCGAGCTTAAATTCAGCGGCAACGCCCAGCGATGAGAGATCGCCAATCAGCGTGTTGAGTGGTACTTGCTTCACCACCAGCGGAGGAAGCTTGATTTTCACCGCACTCGGGCCGGCAGAATTCTCGGTTTCGACGGCGTCGCCGAAATCACCGATGTCACTGGCGTTCGTCGCGGTAACATCGTCGCGTCCGCTCGTACCATCGGACTGTCCTTGATTCTTCTTCCTCTTTTTCGTCCGCTTCACCGGGACTGGGTTGGTATTTCCAACATCGGTGGGCAGAGTAGCGTACCTATTTGAGGTAGGTACCGAGCTACCCTCACCACTGTTCTTCTTCTCCGCTTGGTCACGAAGTCTGCTCCGAGAGCGCTGTCTTCCCATCACGCTATGCGACCGACACTACTGACGACGCGACGTACAGTATATCTGCGAACGTTTGTAACAAACTATAGGTTAATCGAACAACTCGACAGAGCGAGCAAAGACCGAACTGTACTGCTTGACGTTCAAGCAGCTAATGATGATGACATTTCGACCGTCGAGGGTGGTTTTATACCTGCGTCGAGTAGCATATTATGAATACAGGGACGGTACAATAAATACTGTGGGTAGCAAAATACTGAAAATGGGATGAGTGTCGGTTGTCTCTACGGGCATGAAACAAGACAGCGTTGCCAGTATTCCTGAATTATTTGATTTTCCAGATTTTCAATCGTCTTGCCAGATACTTACCCAGATATAATTTACTTATATGTTATTACGTTTATTTCAAGAATTTTTAATTATGTTCCGGATTTTCCCATATTTTTTAAATATGTTGCTTTAGAGAATTTCCAGCCCAAAACGAAACCGGTTGGACATGAGCGTTTCCGAATTCAGTCCAATAGAGGCGATGGGGGCAAGAAGACCATACGGGGCGAGATGGGCCACCGTTCGTTTGGGCATAATACCTATTAACTCAATCTATTTTTTTTTACAAACTTGTTGAAAATGCTTCTAATATGCATCTCCATGAAAACCGTATCAAAATTCAATTACATGTCTAAGATAATAATGGAAATGTAACATTAGCTCAAAATCTCTAGAATATTATAAGATATGCAGTCAAGAAAACAAGCATCGCATTCACTATATTACATTTTACTGATCCGCTGGTTCTACAGCGAGCAATACACGTAACTGTTGCTAAAAGAACTTATGTTTCTATTTCACTTGATTCCTGCATGTTATTTTCTAGTGAAAACCTGTCAAAACCTTAACTTTTACTAGGGTGCTCATATTGCCCCGTATGGTTGTTGATCGGAGCAAAAACTGAAATTTTTCAAACATAATCA